GGGCGGGGCCAGGGCCGGAAGCGGTCGGGAGGCCGGAAGCAGTCGGGAGGCTGGGGTTACGCTCGCTCCTGGGCACTTAGGTACCCTCGCGAGAGGGGTGTTGGTCTGTCTTTGTCCCCGGAAGTCCTCTCGCCCGGTGCTGCAGGGAGGGCTCGGCTGCCGTCTGGAAGATGCTGCGTGACAGAGATCGACATGACCCTAGGGACCCGCGCAGCGCCTGGCTCAGGTGTTTGCGGGAGTCAAGTGAGCGAGAAGACGCTGGTCCTGCGGTCCCCGCGTCGTCCTGCACCTGTGTTACCCCATTACACAGTTGAAAGTGAATGCCGCTTGTAAGGGACTCAGTCGGCTTTTTAAAAAGCAGAGGCTTCCTTTTTTTTCTTGTCTTTTAAAAAAAATTCTTGTAGGAAAAGAAGAAAGTCGAGCTCCCCAGTGTGTACCGAACGCGGAGGGTCCCTCGGCTTGGGGAGCCCAGACCTCAGCCCAGCGACCTGAAGCCACCCGATGGTGGCCCCGTGCGGATGCAGGGGTGCCACGCGCTTGATGAGCCACCGCACAGGTACCGAGGAAGGAGAGGCTCGTCTAGGTGGGGTGCGATGCGTGCCATTCCCCTGACGTGACACCAGACGTCACCGACTCAGAGCGGATGAGTGACAGAAGTATTCATGACGGGGACCGGACAAGTACCCAGAGCCTCAGGTGTCCCTCGGGTGTCCCAGCGCCTCGTTCATGACTGTGGCTCGTGCCCCACCCGGCTGGGAAGCGGGTGTCACGACTTCCGGGCTTCCTCTGAATTAATTAACCTATTTAATATTTCCATCTTAGACTCGCCTGGATCTCTGGAGACACTTCAGAGCTTAGAGCTGGAAGCGACCCAAACTAAACACCAGCTATCTCAGTCCCCTTAGCGTTTCTTTTTTAAGACGAAGGAACAGGTTCACAGATGTTAAATGATTTGCCCAAACGAGTGTTAAGAGTCAGGATTACTTACCTGGATTTTGTATGTCTGCTTCAGCTGTTTGGGTCAATCAACAGCAGGTTTTCTGGAATTTTACTCAGTTGTCTAGAATTTACTAGGTCATTCTAATTTTCTAGAATGTTCTAGATAGGTGGCAGATATACATTTTATCAGTCCAATCGTAATGGAAAAGTTTTTCTTTTCTAATCATCTAATGCTTCCTAACCCCCCACCTTGCCTGGTTAGAATAGCTAAGATGATTAGAATAGCTAAGACTGTAGTCGCTAGCTCTTCCATTCTATTTGGTCTCCTTTGCTAATTTCTCCTCTAGGTGCTACTTAAACAGATCTGTTTCCCGTTACTTTTGTCCTTGGTTCATATGTCAATTTACATCCTCATACGAAGGACAGTCCCGTGGTTGCAGTGACTTCTATACCCATATTCTCAGCCCTGAGAACTTTCTCCCAAGCTGGACGACTCTATTTCCACCTGTCCATTCGACATATGTACTTGGCATCATTTGTCATGTAAAACTCGAGTCCAAAATGGGTTGCTCTTACCACTTGTGCCTCAGACATGTCTCTCGAACCTGTACCCTTCCTTCAATTCTCCGGTTATTTCTTTCCACTTTTACAGTTTAAAAGTTCAAACTGTAAATTCATCGTTATCATCGGATCAGCTTACAAAACAGACTTCTCTCCTCACCTTCAGAATGCAGTTTTAGCCCCTCACCTGGGAAGTCCTTCGGAATGCACGGGCCAGATTCAGTCCTCCAGGACATCAGGCCCCTGCTCTAGCAGCGCGTTCTGCGTGCTTTTCTCCCTAGCGCTAGCTGGGCAGTAATCTAATTTACCTGACCCCAGAAATCTTCAGTGGCTTCTACTAGCTACAAAATAAAATCTGCAGTCAGGTCGATCCAGCAAGTGTTCTGAGCATCAATTACACATCAGATACTGTTCTAGATTGATACAGAATTGAATAAGACATGGTCCCTGGCCTCAAGGAGCTCACAGAGTCCATGGGAGAATGTCTCCAGTGGGCACTTAAAGTCTTTCAAATCTTGGCCCAACTTACTTTCCTCTCATAATCTCTCAAATGCCTCTTCGCATTCCGTGCTCCCCGTGGCCACAGGCCCTTTACACATGCTGTTCCTTCTCTGCAGAACGCTCTTCTCTCTCCCGTTTGATCTAGTTTGTTTCTGCTTTTCCTTTTGCTGTCACCTCAAGTAGCTTTTCCTTAAAAAATTCTTTGTTCTCCCTTACTACTCATATCCTGCTGTGATTACAGTCACTTTGTGTCTCTTTCAAAGCATTTATCCCAGGCCTGATTTTATATTTGATTCTATGAATATTTGATCTTCCAACAGTTCATCTCCCACTCTAAGATGTCAGCTTCATGAGGACAGACACCATGTCTGTTTTTGCTGTCCATTGTATTATAATTGCCGTGAGCCTATTTTTTTTAGATATTAAATACATTTTTACTGGACAAACTAATGAAAAAAATATTTCATAACTCTGTGCACTAGCCAAGGTGAATTACTGCAGGTTTCCTGTAGATGCCCTTGGCTCCCTCCCCTGTGGGTTTTGTGCTGCTCCCTCTGCCATGGAATATTCCTTGTCCCATCTTTTCAAGTCAAATCCCTAGCCGTACTTGAGGGCCACATTTAAATTCCCTTCTTCAAGGCTTCCCTTTATTCCTCCCACAGTAAAGGAGTCACTCATTTTGGGCTCTTATTATGGTTTGTCTGTGCTTTATTAAACCTAGTTATTTCTAAGTTTTATTCTAATTATTCTCGTGCATATCTTCTCCCTTACCGGCTATAACCATGTTGATGACTGGACTGATGTTTCATTCATCATTGTAATTCCTTCATTCTACCGTGATGCCATTCAGCCTGCTCCCGGAATGAACACCTGCGGAACAGACCTACACCCGGCCCGCCCCGAGGAGTCAAGCTCAGTCAACCCACAGTCTGAAGATGAGCTACCCAGGCAAGGCTTTCCTCGCCATGCCGAATTTCAACAGACCTGCAGGTCTGCGTGCTTGAGTATAAATGCTTATGGTCGTAAGTCCTGGAGTTTTGGGGTGTTTTGTAACAGCGTCCTCATGGCAATAGCTCACTAACATATGGGGAATAAATAAAACAAAAGATAAGATATTGCATAATTCACATGACATGTAAAAGAATTTCTTCTCTCCAAATATCAGTTTATCTTGTATACCATGTTCCAAATCAGAACTTGAACATTCTACATTCAAACTTTAACAATAACAGCTAAAATCCTTTGATTACTATGTACCAGGCACTTATATGGATCATTTCGTTTAATCTTCCGACACTTTTAGATATCGTTAATGGCTTATAAAGTGACTCAAGTCCTTCCTCCCTATCCCCACCTTCTAAAATGGCTCTACCCGCTCACCTCCCCGCTGACCTCTTAATAATTGTACTTACCCAGAATCCTCCTGCCCCGCCTCATGGGCTAGTGCCTTCGTATAAAGTCCCTTCTCCTTTCCCTAAACTTGCCCCGTTGTCTTCAGCTCATCTTTCGGCTTCCAAAAGAGGCATCTGGGACCTGCCACGGACTGGATCGAATCCTTTGTCATATGTCCTGGCTTCCTATTGTTGCTGTAACAAGTGCCTACAAATTTCGTGGCTGAAAACAACGCAGCTTATTACCTTACAGTACTGGAGGTCAGAGGTCCTGAAAGCAGTGTGTCGGCACGGCACGTTCCTTCTGAAGGCTCCAGGGAAGAAGCCAGTTCCTTGGGCTGCCTTTGTTCCTTGGCTCGTGACCCCTTCCTCCCATCTTCACAGCCAGCAAAGCGGCATCCGCAAATATCTCTTTTTCGCCCGTCCTCCTCCATCCCTCCCCTTCCACCTGCCTCCTTCTCTGACTCTGACCCTTTCGCTTCCTCTTTTAAGGACTCTCGTGATTACACTGGGCCCCCCTGGATATTTCAAGATACTCTCCCCGTCTCAGATCCTGAACTTAATCACACCTGCAAAGTCCCTCTAAAGCCAGAGAATCAACATGGTCACTGGTTTCAGAGATCAGGATGTGGACAACTGGGGGTCGTAATTCCACCCGTCCCAACATACGTTCTTGTATTTCCCAGACTTACTTCTTCGTAACATTTATTACAATTTCCAAGATTGTATTTGTGCGACTACTGATGATATGTCTCCTATTTGTCACTTGAGGACAAAGGCTTTGTCTTATTCATTGTATCACCAAACCCTTGTTCAGGCTTGGCACATGGTGAGGCCTCAAAAAACATCTGTCCACTCAGTCGGTGAATGAACAAGTCAGTGCTGACAGACAGCTGTCCCCAAACTGTTACAGTCTTAATCAGCAGCGATAAACGTCATCAGAACGAGGAGCACGAACACGGGAGCTCGTTTCGTGCGGCCTGACTGGTCAAGGCCAGAAGAAGCACCGCGCTTTGTTCCGAGCACCCCGCCCAAGTGTGGCAGAGGCGAACTGGGACGTAGTTAAATGAAGGCAACGGGGAAGTGAAGAACGAAACACCAGCATCCTGAAAAACCCAGAGAATCCGTAGTTTCGGGCTCAGTAGAGACGAGGAAGGGTATGAAGCAAAACATCACTGAGACCCCCATCACCGGTCAGCATGGCGGCGCGTGTGGGGGGCGAGCCGAATGCGTGTGTTTTGAATTCCATTTACACAAAGCGTGTGAACGATGACACAGATGACTCCATCTAGGAAATGTGTTTCCCAATATGTTCATCTTTTGTATCATCATTTGAGTATTTTTTCACGATGTATTTCTTTATTCATCCATTTATACAAGAAATATTGATAAAGTGCCTGTGACGTGCCAGGGCCTGTTCTGGGAACTGGGGAACACCGGTGAACAAAACAGATGAGACCCCTGCTTTCACGGGGGGCCTCCTAGTGGGGATGGGCATGGAAAGTAAACGGAACAGAAACGCCCAGTCTCTGGGGGCGAGTGCTGAGTGCTAAGTGCTACGGGGAAAAATCAAGCTGGGAGGAATGGGCGTTCTCTGGGGGTGGGGAGAAGGGGAAGGAGCTGTGTTTGAAACGGGGTGGAGAGACGATGGTACTTAAAGACTTAAGGAAGTGTGCCTGGTGGCTTTGAGCCAGAGTGGGCAGGCCAGGGTGGCTAGACAGAGTTGGGGGGCGGGGTAGGACTGGACCAGGGGGGCCAGTGAAGTGAGGTGGGGTCCACAGCATGTCATAGAGCGGCCTGAGGACATTCCTGAAGAGCTCGGCTTTTCCCTGGAGTGAGGTGAGAAGTCGGTGGGGGACGTGGCCCTGGCTACTCTGCAGGGGGACAGCAGCACGGCCCAGGCGACCCTGGTGGGGTCAGTCACGAGTGTCCTGTGGTGTCTACCAGGACGAGAGTGGCTCGGAGCAGCGTGTTGGCAGCGGTGGTGGCGGCGAGTGGTCTGGTGTTCGGAGCAATTAGAGCCGTGGGGCTGGATGTGGGGTGCGAGAGAGGGCATCGGGGATGACCCCAAGGTTTTGTCCGGAACAAAAAGAAAGCTGCCGTTGTCACTAACTGAGGGACAATCTGTGTGCTCTTCCATGAGGTCCCAAGTCTCCTGTGATCCTATTCAGGTGTGACGGAATCCTGGCGGGAAAGGAAGGTGCTAGAATCAGCTTTAGGTAGGTTATGCGGTAAGGGTGATGTTACGGTACAGGGCCACGCCTTGTTTTATATCCATCGGTGGTTGGTGTGGAAAACAGCCAAGCCCGATCATCCTTAGATTCTGTAACTCTCCCGGTGAGAGATGGACGGAGGTGGGAGGCAGCAGAGATAAAGAGCTGCAAGCAGGACGCAGTCCCAGGCACCGTGTATCTTCATTACGACTCGGGGCAGTGCAGCTTTCAGTTTTGCAAAATTATTATTTTTCATAATGGCTACTTTTGCACTCATTGTTGTGTTTGGGTATTACATGCAGTGAATATTTAGTTCTAAGAAACAGCTGCTGATGGAAAGAATGTGCACACGCTTGTCGAGCTGCTTAATAATAAAGAGCTGTTTGATGATGACTCCGCAGGGCGTTTAAAGGGCAGTTCTGTTGCGTCAGAGCCCATTTGCGTTCTAGAAATGGATGTGATTCCGAGGGCTGTCCAAATGCATCAGTTAGCCTGACATCCAGGTCTTTTTAACAGATCTATAAATTTCCAATTTCCTTTGCCATCTTAACCGTGGTAAATCACCCCAAACCAGATCATCCTTTGAACAGCAGCCTCCTTATTAGCTGAGATCAATTGAGATTAGAAAATGAAAAATATGCTAGATGTCGAGAACCGTTTACGAAACCACATTTGTAAGATGAGTATCGAATGAAGATTAATGTGTTATTTTTCGGCTTCTACATCATTGATTTAAAAATTTATTCTCTAGATCCCATTGCTGGATTAAGCACTGGTATATATTTGGATGACTTGCTTGCTTGCAAGTATTATCTGTTCCCTACTGAGGTTATGTATTAATGGAAGAGAATAATTTTTAATTCAAATGTATCTTGCTCTGTAAACCACGTGTTTCTAAAAGTGCTACACATTAAATTGGGTGAAACTGATTATTTTTTCCATCGAATTAGAAATTAATGACTAAATCCTTTGTTTTAATTTCTGATTGATTTTCATTTGCTCTTCGGATAAAATACGAGGTCCTTATTGGCACATCGTGTGGCCCTCTGCGCTGGGCCCTGTCCGCCCTTGGAGACGGCCTCACGGGTCTCTCCTCTCCTGTCTGCACGTCCCTTGGCCTTTGGAACCCTAATACTTCTGACTCAAGATTCTGGCTCAGATTGTCTAAAATTTAAATTCTCTAACACGCTCTGCTTTATTTTTTCCCCATAGAATATAGAGTTCATAACTTTCTTAATTTATGGTCTGTCTGCCGCTACACGTATAGGTTTTAGTCTTTCTTTCTTCACTGCTGAATCTCCAACATCTAGAACTGTGTTGGGGATACAGAAAAAATGAGGTGACTGCCGTCACTAGAAGGTCGGCTCCTTTAGGGCAGGTGGCGCTTTCATTCCTGACGCCCCCTGTGTACAATACCGAAGATTAGAGCAAAAGACGTGTTGCAGGTCGTAAGAGGCAATGATAGAAGTGTCTAGCTGTGGTTGTTGGGGATGATACATCCATATGTTTGTGCGTGGTGAGCCTCCTAGAAAAGTGTGCAAGTTCTTTGGCAAAATTTGGTGCTGGCTGTTCTGATGTCAGATACAATGGGTCGACCTGCTGTTTCTGTGTCACTATGATGGCAGAAAAATTGAGTTATTGATCTTGGGTATCAAAGCGTACTTGTCACAGTGATGGAGGCTTTCTTCCACTTTAACCATCAGGGGTTAGCTAACGGCCAGCGGTAGGTTCCGATGATGTTGGCAGACGTGTTATGTGGGGTATGCCCAGCCCACGACCGCTAGACCATGGCCCAGTCCCACGCTCCACTTGTGCCGTGCTTGCGTCACCCCTGGCCGTCACACATCACCGCCCTTTCATCTCACCCGACTCTGGGACAGAGGGACTGAGCATGACCAAAACACGTTTCTCTCCTCCAGGACGTCCTCTCCTTTTTCACATAGCTGCCTCTGTAAAGACATCTGACAGATCCAAATGCAAAGGCGCAGAATCGAACGCAACAACCAAGCACGCTCAGCAGCCCCGGCGTTAGGAAGAGAGGCGACCAGCACCTTTCAGCCCCTTCGGCCATGTAAGGATGAGCTAGAACTGACCCAGGCCAACCGGCAGCCAAGCACGGGTGGCTGCACGGATTCCTCACCTGCAGAGACAGCCCAGTCAGACCAGCTGCTCCCCGAGTAAGCCAGGTGCTCACACACCTGCCCCCCAGAGGCAGGCCATGCCCTAAAGCCGGAGCCTCCACACACCCATCCAGACACGCCACACCCAGGCGGCCTCGTCTGAATGTTCTTATTCACGAGGACAGAAGCTGAGTTCAGAAGCACTGCACAAACACACACTCACAAACACACACGGGGTAAAGCGTCTCATTAATCAGGGTGGGCAACGCACTCTCTCTCTCTCTCTCTCTCTCTCTCTCTCTCACACACACACACACACACACACTTTCCTGCTTTTGCTCAAGTCCCCTGGGATACTGGTTTGCAGTCCCCTGAGCTGTACACAAACTTGTCCTCCCCTGGGACGTCCGGAGCGTGGACAGAGCGGCAACTTTGCTGTAGCCCCGCCTGAGTCTGGCACTCCTTCCCCTTCCTGCTGTCCCCGACCTCCCCGAGGCCGAGGCTGGTGGCGCCTGCAGCCAAGTCCAACTCCTGCGCCCTCCCAGCCCGGCCGCGCCGAGGGCGGGGCACCAGCGCCAGGAAATGCCCAGGAGTGCGTGTCACCTGCCCCGACGACTTGTTGATTCCCAGGGGCGCCGCCTTTGCGGGTCCGCCCCCGAGAGCGGAGGACGGTCTCGCTTGCCTGTCCCCCCAAGCACGCCCCCGACTGCACAGCCATGAGCAAGTTGGGCAGGTTCTTTAAAGGAGGGGGCTCTTCTAAGAGCCGTGGGGCCCCCAGCCCCCAGGAGGCCCTAGCCCGACTCCGGGAGACCGAGGAGATGCTGGGCAAGAAGCAGGACTACCTGGAAAACCGCATCCAGAGGGAGCTCGCCCTGGCCAAGAAGCACGGCAGGCAGAACAAGCGAGGTAGGCTCCCAGCCCCTCACCCAGCCCCTCCTTGGGGACGGGCCCTCGGCCCATGCACCTGTCCCGGGGCGGCCAGGTGTGCTTCTAGGAACTGGCACCGGCCCCCCAGGGCTGGGACGGCAGTGAGCCGAGCCTGCCGGGCTCCTGGAAGACAGAATGTCAGGGGGTGCCCCAAAATCTCAGTGGTCGAGATGAGCAGTGTTTGTTTGCAATATTAAAAAAGCTCAAAATTAATGCAAAAAAAATCCACGATGGAAACATATCAAAATTTAAAATAGAGACGAGATCAGTATTACTGATCTGTTTTTCTTTTGCCTCTGGCTCTTATGTGTTCTGCATGGGACTTCTTTATTTAAAATTCTTTTTTTTTAATGTGATATTTTGTTCATTATGAATTTTTTCCCACTAATTTTGAGTTTTAAATATATGACATGAAAATATTATTTCTCTTGATTACTGATTTTTTTGGTGCCTCCTTAAATTTTGCTTCTGGCTTGCCTCACCTTAGTCCCGCCCTGCTGACCCCAACACTAAATATCAGGTTTTCTGCTGTGCATTTGTATATTGACACACACATTTTAATTTGCATCTCGATCTCCAGGGAAGTATATTCTAGTATGTTCTAGTTCACCCAGTGCGAAGACTTTAGTTGGCTGTGTGAAGTTAAGACGTTATACAAAAAAAAAAAAAAAAAAGTCAGAGAATTAAATATTAAATTCTCTGTCACTGGCTTTCCCACACGGGGACTGTGAGTCTGGAAGGGTTCTTAGTGCTCCTTATTCTCTGCCGGAGTGGCCTCTTGGATGTATGGCTCTCTCTGTAGAGAGCAGCCCTAGGCAGCGCTGCTGGAACCTGGAAAATCCAGCCAGAAGTTAAAGGGATTTGCTCTTGGAACTAGAGGTCAGTGGCAGACGCAGAAATAGAAGCAGCCATACAAGACTCCTTCTGTCATAATAATGCTTGGGAGGTTTAGCTTCCCCCAAACGATGCTGCAATTGTTAAACGCAGGAAAGGAACCACGTTTCCTGGAGCTGACCTTGAAACTCTTCGCTCCTGATACACGCCCTTGCCCACTTATCGCCAACAATAAAAAGTCCAAGTTTCATTTTTCTCTGCTACTGCATATAACTTTTGGCCACATTGTAGCCTGTTTTCGAGTTAAGTGCTGGTTTCTGTTTTTACTTTATGTCTGAAAATATTTTGGGAGGTTATTACATGGCAATTTCTCTAGAGAGACTGTGCCATTATGGCTTGCCAAAACTCCATTCTGTTCCTCTGCCTTTCCCTTCAGTTTGATGCGTATTCTGACATTTGCTTAGTATCTGTCAAGGGTTTTCTTTTCTTGTTTGTTTTGTTATCCATTTGGATCTGTATAAAGCTTTATCTACAGTGGCTGCTCAATAAATATTGGTTTTAAAAATTTGAAAAATGGAACATCTGCTTTTAGGAAGTGGTGAAAATATAATTTGCTTTCAGAAGACCAAAATATAAAGTAAGTACAGACGTGTTCTCCGATTGGCAATGCACTAAAGTGTATACAAGTAGATTTTTATAGACACCCCCCCACCAAAAAAAATTAAAACAACACTACTTAAGAACATCAGCCTGACTTCCTTAAATCAGAGAAGTTACATACAGATGCAAGAATCAAGTGCAATTACCAACTGGTGTCAGAAAAGCCATTTGCTCTTTGTCGTTTATCCTTGGGAACTTCGTCGGCGTTGGCCCCGGGCTTGGTTCTGCAGTGGCCTCGAGAGTAGGCAGAGGCTGGCTGACTAGCATGAGGTCACCCATAACCCGGACTATGGAAGGAATTCAATCACAGACCATGCTTCAGAAATGCTGTCACTATCAGCGTCACCCAGTAAATCAAGTAACTTCGTAGACACATAGTTACTGTTTTGCATTAGCCACTAAGAAATATTGTCCCACATGTAATAAGGCCCAATTCACTTGGTACTACATGGACCTTGTGCCACACAGTGTCAGCGCTAGAATGGCTGTCAGTTACATGATAACCAGAGCGACATGATGTATGTGCAGCTAAACTCTAACTTCTAGAGGTGGTTGGCCAGCGACCATGCTGACGAGAATAATAGTTGAGTGGCCAGCTAGTATTATATTAGAAAAGGCCACACTTCTGGCCTGTATAAATTCTTTAGCTACCTGTTTCTCTACAGCAACAGAAGTTTTGACAGTTAGCATTCTGAATGTCAAAATGGATTTTATTAGTAATATGAGTAACTCTTAAATTAGCATAATAAATGTTAGAAGTGGGGTCTCACTGGTGAAGTTGTGGTTATTCTAAACATGTGGATTGGCTAAAATAGTTTAGAAACACCTCCTCCCTCCCTGTGTAAGAACAGGCGAGAAGACCAAGCCAGGTGTGTAACTGACGTAACATGAGGGTGGCACCCGAGGCCCCGTCCGCGCAGTGTCCAGGCTGGGGCTGAGGCTGTGCGCAGTCGCTAATGCCCCGCTCAAATCTACCAGGAAGGACCTGGACCTCCCTGTGCCTCGTCAAACTGGTTTCGCAGCAACCACCAAGTTCAAGGCACTGTCGGTCTATCTAAGAGGGCGATGGTTGGAGCAAGGGTTATAATTTGGTTAAAAACTTCAGGACGTCAGACGTTCTTCAATGCAGTTTGTTCAGGTTACTGCGATAGGTCTGCTTTATAGCTAGTGATCTGTGGGAAAAGCAAACTTTTTATGCAGCACTTAATTGTTTTCTTTTCCTGCTGGGCGCTGTCGTCTGGAACAGTTTTCAGTCCCGGCTGTTTATTAAAGTCCCCTCAGTGCCTGGGTCCCACCCCTGGAGATTCTGATATAATCGACTGAGGCTTGGGCGGCAGTATTTTTAAAAAGCGCCCCAGGTGAGTCTTTCCTGGGTCCGGGGTTCGGTATTGGGACCCTAGATCCGCAGTAACGCTAGTGAGGGGCAACACAGGTGCTCGCGGTCTTGCGGCGCTTCCTGGCCTTTTCCCGTTGTGCCACACGTGGGCTCCGGTGGTCCGGTGTGTGTCCCTGGCCGGTGGCCTCAGGAGCTGATGGTGTCAACACCCCAGCACACTGCAGACGCCCCCTGCTACCCTGGTCTGGCGGAACACCTTGGAGGTCGCTGCTTAACCTCCTTTATGAGGTCTTGTTTGTTTTTTTTTTTTCTTTTTAATATCATCAAGAGAGTCATAGGAATTTTGCTTAAATTTGACATCCTGATCTCATTTTTAGATGGAAAGTCACTTACCCCAGCACACTGCAGACACCCTCTGCTACCCTGGTCTGGCGGAACACCTTGGAGGTTGCTGCTTAACCTCCTTTATGAGGTCTTGGTTTCTTGTTTTGTTTTGTTTCTTTTTAATATCATCAAGAGGGTCATAGGAATTTTGCTTAAATTCGACATCCTGATCTCATTTTTAGATGGAAAGTCACTTAGTTAAGAGCCTGGGCCTCGAAGCCGACAGCTCTGGGTGTGCGTCCCGCTGGGAGCTGGGCGTCCCGCTGGAGCTGGGCCTTCAGCCCGCCCTCCCCGCCTGTGCAACTGTTTCTCCATCCGCACGACGCTGCCATAAGCTTGGTTCTGAGTTGTGAGGATCAGCGACGTCATTGTGTAAAGGTCTGAATTCAATGTTGTGTAAATATCAGCCAGTGTTATAACAATAACTTCTTTTTTTTTTAAGCTAAAATTGGCTTCTAGTAAGTTCCACTTATTGGCCCAAATTTCATCTTCTGCATGAATAAGGAGTAAATTGACTCCACCTGTCACAGGAAGACCGTTTACATATTTGGAGACAGCGGTCCCTTCTCTGAGCCTCCTGCTCCATGACCCCCGTTTGTCACTTCCTCAGTTACCCCTTCCGGGCTGAGGTTCCCTTCCGGGGTGGGGTCTCGGGTGAAGCCCCTGAGGCCCCCGAGGACAGTCTAGTGCGACTGGAGAGGGAGAACCCCTGAAATTCACACCCTAGTCCTGGCCTGTTGGTTCCTTGTCCCGGGCTGAGCAATAACTCCAAGTACGTCATTGCAAGACCCGGGCGGGTCCGGCTGGTGCCGAGGCCGCTCTGCTGGGGGCCGGCGGAGCAGCGTGTGTGGCCGTCCCTCAGGCTGAGCTCAGTACAGGAACGTGCTTGGGCTCTCGAACTGCTTTGCAGTAGAGTCGTCACAGAGCTGGGTCCTGCAGGCTCAGAGCCCAGGGCCCAGAGGACTTCTGAGTGGAGAGCGCCCCAGCCAGCTGAGCGCCCAGGGGTGAGGGCAGAACACGCGGGACTGCAGACTGCAGGGCCCTGAGGCCGCGTCCCCTGGGAGCTATCACTTGACCAGCGACCTCCTTTCCTAAGAGAGTTTCTCAAAACGGGCTCGGATGGCCTGCATCGGATCTCCCTGAGGACGTCTAATGACATGTACACTCACCAGCCCCTCCCTGAAAATTCTCACGTGGTCGATTGAGTGCAGGGTCCGGAAATCTGAACTTTGAACGAAAACTCCATGGTGCTGATGCGTGCTCCAGGGCGAGGCCCTGAAGAGTTACTTCTGCTTCTCCCCGCCCCCCATCCTCACCCCGATACCTGGATGAGGTGCATCTAACCTCCTCCCCGTCTGTTCATCCCCAAGGGACTGTTTCCGGGAGCTTCTGCCGGGTCCTCATTAGTCGCCTGCTTCAGTTTTCTCTAGGGACGGGCATGTGGCAGTGCGACTCCACAGCTTTTGTGAGGGGTCTCAGCATTCTCCAGGGTTCAGATGACGGCCTCTTCGGTTATCTGATTGTTTCGTACACTCAGGACACTGTTCCTGACTTCACTGCTGGAAGGACGGCACCGTTACTGGAGGAGACAGCCCGCCACGGAGGATGCAGTTAATCCCTTTGAACTAGAGGAAAGTCGGACAGGTTTCCTCAGCTGCTTAAAAGCACAGCCGGGAGCCTGGAAGGTTGAAATGCGCCTTCCAAGCGGGTTAAATGACATGCTCTAAAAACGTCTCTCTCTGCGAGACTGGGAGGGATGCTCCGT